GGTGCAGCATTTTGGTTGGGGGGCCGCCCCCACCCCACCTTCCCCTGCGGTGCGGGGAGGCCCGGGGCGGGTTCGCCCCCCGCAGCGTCGCCCACAGCGCCCCCTCGAGAAAACGGCCTTTGGATCGAGGGAGACAAGCTGGACTTTATGAAAGCAACAGGGCGGCCGACTACTCACTTCGGCGGCGGCGGGAGGGGCGCAGGGCGGGCGGCCGCTGTGTTTCGTTTCCTTGTTTCAAATAGTTAATGCTCTCGGAGGGGAGGACTAGACACAGGTGTAGAAATTTCGGCCAAAGTCTCGTGTGAAGGAGGTGACCCCACGTGGGGGGGGAGGGGGGCGGGCAGCAGCGGCCGGCCCTGCAGTCTGCGTCTGGGCTGTGGGCCACACAGCCACGGACGAGCTGGTCCCGGGGCTGCGGTGGGAGGATTCAGGGCACCACTGCCCCGGGTCACTTGTGTCGCTGCGCGGATTTTCTCTTTCTTCTCTTGAAGAAGCAGCAGCACCTGAACGGGGTAGGAGGTTCGGGGGAGGTGGGTGCGGGGGAGGGGAAATACGCGAGGGGGAGGGGGTGTGGAGCCCGCCCCAGGCGTCCTCACCACCCCCCCCCCACCCCCCCGCGGCTGCCCAGGGGCCTTACTTGGTGTCATCAGTCACCTCCACCTCTGCGGGCGCCGTGATGGGGGCGTTGGAGTGACCGGCAGTGGGGTCGTCCGTATTCAGCTCCCCGTTGGTGGAGTTCAGCGCCTAGGATTGGGGAGGGGTGGGGTGGGGGGAGTACAGTAGGGGAGCCAGGTGGCCCTACCCCACCCCCACATCACTGGGGCCCTTGCCCCGGCCCCTCACCTGGTTTTTGCTGTACAGCTGGGCTTTGTCCCGAGGCTGAGGCTGCGAGGGCAGGTCGGTGTGGACCGTGCCGATGGGGGTCGGCTGCAGAGGGGGGAGGGGGGGGAGGAGGGGGGCAGGACGCAGCGCTGAGGCCGGGCGGCCTCTCCCCACCCCCCACAAAGCCGGGGTCCCGCTCGCAGCAGGCACCCAGGCTCCTGGCCCGCCTGTCCTGGGGCCCCGCCCACTTCAGGAACCCGGACCCCCACGTACCAGGGGCTTCCCCGCCCAGTCGTACTCGTAGTCGAACACGAAGCCGCTGCGGTCGAAGAGATCGGTGAAAAGCTTGCGCAGATAGTCGTAGTCAGGCTTCTCGAAGAAGTCTAGGCGCCGCACGTAGCGCAGGTACGTGGCCATCTCCTCTGTGGAGAGCCGGCGGGGACACAGGGGTCAGTGGGGCGCGCGGGCAGCGCGGGCCCGGGGCGGTGCGGACCGGGCGTCCCTCACCTGGGAAGCTCTCGCAGAGCACCTCGATGGGCGTGGCCCGCTTGGTGTCCCCGATCTTCTGGTAGCGCTCCTTGAGCGTGTCGGCCTGCGGGGACAGCGGTCAGCCGACGCCGACCCGGCGGCGCCCCGCGCCCGCACCCCCGGCCCCGCGCCCACCTTGAGCCCCTGCCAGGGCAGGCTGCCACGCAGGAAGTACATGAACATGTGGCCCAGCGCCTCCAGGTCGTCGCGGCGGCTCTGCTCTGCGGGGGGAGAGCAGGTCAGCGCGGCCCGCGCGCCCCCCCGCCCGGCCCGCGCGCGGCTCACCCTTGCCCAGGTGCGTGTTGATGCTCATGTAGCGCGCCGTGCCCGTCAGGCTCTTGTGCTCCCGGTACGGGATGTGCTTCTTGGTCTCGGGGTCGATGTACTCCTTGGCCAGGCCGAAGTCGATGATGTGGATGGCGTGCTGCCGCTTGGTGCCCGGGCGCCCCACCAGGAAGTTCTCGGGCTTCACGTCGCGGTAGATGAGGCTCTTGGTGTGGACGTACTCCATGCGCGTGATCTGCGGGGCGGTGGCGGGCCTCAGGGCCGGCCCCTCGCCCCGCCCCGCCCCCGCCTGTCTCCGCCCCCCCCCCCGCCCCCACACGCCCTCAGCCCGCACCAGCTGGATGGCGATCATGAGCACCGTCTTGAGTGTGAACGTGCGATCACACAGGTCAAACAGGTCCTCCAGGCTAGGCCCGAGCAGCTCCAGCACCATGGCATTGTACTTCCCACACGGGCCGAAGTAGTAGACCTGAGGGACGCCCTCTGCAGGGGACACACAGACCTGTGAGGACCCTGCCCGCGAGGCGAGGCGCCCCCCACCCCGGCCCCGCACTGCGCCGGCGCGCGGGTACCTGTGGCGCTGAGCTGCTTGTAGAAGCGGTACTCCAGGTGCAGCTGAGGGGCCCGGGACTTGATGGGCTCCTGGGAGGGGCAGGTAGACGTGGTGGTCGGGTCACCCAAGGTGCGCGCCCACCGCCCCTCCCCCTCCCCTGAGACCGGGCAGCGGGGACAGATGTGGGGCTGGGAGGCGGGAGGGGGGGCCTGGACTCACCAGTTTAATAGCTACGTATTCATTTGTATAGAGATTCTTCCCTGTGGAAGAGAGGTTTGTCAGCGTGGTATGCACCCCACTGCAGGGAGGAGACCCCCCCCCCGGGGGCCAGCCCCCCCCCCCCCGAACTTGACCATGTCCTAGGAGTAACAAGAACGCCTACGAGCCCCACCCCCCCACCCCCACCATGGGCGGCGCTCATGTGCCCCACACCCTCATCCTAGAGCCCACCCTGCCAGCCGGCCTCTCCTCCCCCTCCAAGCCCCACCCCGCCCCCTCAAGGGGGCTGGTCCCAAACTCCTCTCTATGGGATCCTTCCCTCCAGCACACCAGCTCGCTCCAATTTCTCCCATCTACAAAAACAAAGAGAACAGACGGCCGCGGTGATCCCGGGGCGCCCCCCTTCCGCTCCCACCGCGGAGAACCAGGAGGCATCCAGGCCCCTGCCCCCCCCCCAGCTCCCTGGACCCCGCCTCCCCCTCACCGTGGAGCAAGGCCCCCAACCCCCACAAGAAGCCCCACAGACAGGCCTGTCCTGGTCAAGTCCTGCAAAGGACTCACCCAAGGTGCTTGCATACCCTTCTCCCGGCCCTCAGGGTGGGGAGCTCCCTCGTGGCACAGAGAAGAAGGGACTGGCCCCAGGCCCCTGCCCGTGCAGGAAGGAACCTGTGCTCCGGTGACACCCTGCCCGGCAGCACCTGGTAGGCTGAGAGTCCCTGGCTGGCTTCTCGGGGCAACCGAGTCACCACACCTGGGGCTGGGAGTGTGTGCCTCGTGGGTGAGAGACACACACAGCCCAGGGCACACGGCCTTCCCAAGCCCATCACCAGCCCTCAGGACCCCTAGGGAGCCCAAACTCACAGAGCTGTCAAAACTCGAGCCCCTGGCGCCGGCAGTACCCCAGACGGGCCTTCCCGCAGCTTGGGGCTTCTGTGAAGGGTCTCACCTCCCTGTGTGCGGACACCCGGCCCCCACCTGCCACGTGACGGAGGGGCCGCCCGACCCCTCGAGTCTAACTGCTGGCCCCCAGCCCCTGTGGAAATGACCGTGCACGGCGCTGTGCGCGCCTGTGCCCCTGCCCGCACTGTCCTGTCCCTGCCCTTGGACTGGCCTCACCAGGCCCTGAAGTCCACGGACGTGGCCCCCACATGGGACACCTGCTCCATCACCACCTGTCCCGCTGTCCTGAGTAGGATCCATCGTGGGAGAAGGCCTCGGCTTCCTCTCCATCCCGGTGCGCGGTCTGGGCGACACCCGCCCCGATGTGGTGGCAGAGACATGGCTGAGTGCCGCCTCACAGGACACGGCCAGGGCTCCCCACGCACGTCAGCCCACCTCATGGGTCACCGCCCCGCCCCATCGTGCTGCGAGGTGCCTGGCCCTGCGTCGGCCGCTCTCGGGCCTCTGTTCCAAGGGGCCGTTTCAGAGTCGGCCTGTCAACGTCCCCAGAGGGCTGCAGGAGAGGCTGAGGAGGGGACATCCCGGCCCCAGCCACGACTGGGAATTAACTTCCCTTGTTGATGTTTTCGGTTCCTGGTGAAGAGCCTGCACGTCCTTTAGTAACTTATTCCGGAGGCACTGGGCAGGTCTGGGCACACTTACAATGGTACTGCTTTTCAATTTTTATTTTCCAACTCTTTGTTGCTCAAACAGAAACATTCATTTCTAACTGCTTCTCGAGAGATCGCTCTGGCTGTTGCGTGCGCGTGATCACGCCTCTGGGCTTAGCCCCAGCTCGCTGCTTCCCCGGTCGGTTTTTCCGCTTCCCCCATTTCTTGCCACGGCCTGGAAGGGGTGGGCAGAGGGGCCCCATCTTCCCGCAGACCTCGGTTCACTCGGTGTGACAACTGAGAGGCTTCCTGCGGACTCTCAGCAGGGAAAGAAAGTTCCCCTCAAGCCCTGCTCCCTGGGCTTTGATTACAAATAGGTTTTTGCCTCCTGTGTTATGAAAGTTTCAAACCAAAAAAATGGAAAACCGGTGCAGGGAAGACCCACGTCCTTACCGCCTAGATGGCATCAGTAACCTGCTCTTCGTCCCGCTGCGTATCTGCGCACCTGTCGCCCCTGCTCTTTTGTTTTTTTATTTTCGAGACAGAGCGCAAGCGCCAGTGGGGAAGGGGCAGAGGGAGGAGGAAGAATCTTAAGCAGGCTCTGTGCTCAGCGCAGAGCCTGGGGCCATGGCCTGAGCCAAAATCGAGAGTGAGGCCCTCAACCGACCGAGCCACCCAGGCACCGCTGGACCTCCCTTATTTTTCATTGAAAAAAAAAAAAAAAAAAAGCATCTCAAAGTCGCAGACATCAGCAGCCTGTCCCGTCAACATCCCAGCCTATTAAGGCCACGGATTAAGCTCAGGGTGGACCCAGTGCTCGTTCTCCCCAGGGAGACAGTTACCTGTAATGCACACGCCTTACGTGCCTCGGACCGGGAGCTCTGGCAAACGCGGAACCCTGTGCAATGCCAGCCCTGTATCGGGACAGAAAACGTGGCCACCACGCACGCCCCTGCCCGGTCAGTCTCCACCTTCATGTCCCGAGAGGGAGCCTCCGAGGCGGAATCATCCGGCACGTTCTCTCCTCCCTGGGTCCTCCTGCACGCCGCGCTGCAGCACGTCCGTCACGGGGACACTGCCTGGCTTACCCGTGACCCTGGGGGACGACCACCCCGTCCCCAGGGTCCTTCTACAAGCACGGCTGACGTGAGCGGCGCCACACAGGACCTCCGACGGGCCGGCGGGCTCCCTCGTCTGGCAGGTTTGCTGGGGTGGCCCCCCCGTGGGAGGAACGCACGCGGCTGCCTTGCTCGGGCTCCTGCGGCGGAAAGCCTCCCGTGCTCCCCGGCTGTTGGCCTGTCTGCTTTTGCGAAGTGTCCGTTCACGTCTGTCGCCCATTTGCAACTTTTTAAGAAACCTCTACGGCCCACGCTGGGGCTCAAACTCGTGACCCCGAGATCAAGAGCCATGTGCTTCTCCGACTGAGCCCGCCAGCACCCCTCTTGCCCGTTTTTCATCGCAGCATCTGTGCGCAGGAACCAGCGCCTTCACACGGTGCCCTGTGCGAGCGTCACACTGTGCAAGCGGTGCCCTGCCCGCGGCCTGCCCAGCCTCGCTCTTAACCACGCGTTCTCATAAGCAGATGTTCTATTGAGCCTTTCTGGGAACTGCTAACTTTACTGTGTCCTGTTGAAGAAACCTTCGTGTTTTGACTGCACACGTGAGTTCAGGGAGAGCCAGTCTCCTTGAAGTGCAGCCCGAGGTGAAGGCGAGAGTGGGTGTGTCCGGCACGGCTGGGGTCTGGGGACGTGCAGGCCGCAGGGGCTGGAGCTCAGGCACTCGGGACTCTGAGAGCCTCGCCCCCTGCACGGGCTGAAGGCAAGAGTCCAGAGGCCAGACGGGAAGTACCTCCCGAGGGGCCGCGAGCAGGAGGAAGGTTCCGGGGGCCACACAGGGCTGGAGCCGTGGCCATCCAGCGTGCGGAGGCTGCCCTGACCTCCCCTGACATTCGGCCGAGAACCCAGAAAGCCCTCGCCTCGGGACCGGGTGGCTCCAGGCTTCGAGTAAGGTCAGCCCTCAGCCTCCCCTAACGGAGCCAAAACCCGGCCCTCGCACTATCGAGACGGGTCTCCAGGACAAGGCAGAACCCCGACCAATACCATGAGACACCCACAATTTCCAACACGTGAAACACCACTCGTGTAGAAAAGGAGGCAAATCAGACAATCACAAGGAAAAACATAGTCAAAGGCGCCAAAGACCTGGCCTGTAAAACGGTTACAAGTAGGTATGAGGTTTAAAAGCAAATGAACAAGCAGCTGGGAGATCCCGAGAGAGAGAGAAGCAGGGGTCGAGCGGAGTCACAAATGCCACACAGAAAATCAAGAAGTCACCAGAATGACTCCAACAACAGACTGGACGCGGCAGCAAAAAAGAAGGGTGAACTCACACGAGAGCAAAAGGCAACTGGAGTGAAGCAGGGGGAAAAAAAACGACAAGAAAACCGAAGAGCAGCCTGAGGGACCTACAGCAAAGCATCAAACCCTCTCCACGTACGTGTAACTGGAGTCTGAGGATGCAGAGACACAAACGGAGGCAGAAAAAAACCCGAAGAAGTAATAACTGAAGTTTTTCCAATTTAATGAGGAAGCATCATACACACCTACGCGGCTCCAAGGAGCCCCAACCGGGATTGCCACAAAGAAAACCACCTTAAACGGCGCAGGATCGAAATCGGACGCCAGAGGTAAAAAGGAGCTCTCGGACACGGAACGTCCAGCTTACTGTCATCAGGGAAGCCACACGAAAACCCCGTCACATCCACGCGCACGTTCAAGGTGGAAAAGCCTGGCCGCTGAGATGGTGGCGAGGACTGGGGTACCCCGGACCTTCACGTGCTGCCCGCGGGAGCTCAGAAAAGCTACCGTCACTCTGGAGACCAGTCCGCACTTTCTCATCGACACACGCCTCCCCTCCGACCTGGGGCTTCAACAGAAACACTCGTGCGTGGGACTCGGAGGGGGGCGCTCAGGCCAGTTTCATTCACGGCAGCGAAATCTACACCCGGCTGAGCGTCCCTGAGCAGGACGACAGACGTGGACGATGAAGTGCAGTCACACAGACGGACAGGGTGACAGACAGCAACCGGTCGCCTACACACCCAACCGCAGGGACACTTGCAAAACCTCGCAGAGCAAAAGCCGGGCAGAGAACACATACCTCAGTTTCGGAAAACGCTTTAAGCTACCAGCCGCTGCGCCCACGGCCCAGTACACGCGCTCTTCTGTCGGTGCACAAGACCCCTGCTGTACAGACTTGTGATCCGGACACCAGGCCGCAGGTCAGGACCGGGCCCGCTGTGTGTCCGTCTGCGTGCATGAGCCCGCGTGTGCACACGCACGCATCCTAACGGGGCAGGCGTGCGTCGAGGCGGCTCCATCTGGCACGAGCTGCAGACTGGTCACCAGGTTGCCGGGGGCCCTGCTGTGCGGGCCGGGCCGGGCACACCTGGTCCGTGCTCTGGGGAAGGCGCCTGTGTCTCCCGTGAAGCCAGCAGTGTCAGTCGCTGAATGACAGACGCCTCTGGTGTTGGAGCCCAGCACCCGCCCTGCCCGCCCCACCAACCTGCACGCGGAGACTGGAGCCCAGCCCTTGCCCGTTGCTGGCTCAGAAACCCTGAGCCTGGGGCCGGGGAAGCCACAGTCAGGCAGTGAGACTCCGCAAGCCCAATCCTGGCAGCCTCTGCAGCGGCTGAGGTACGGCTCTGGCTCAGGACAGGGAGGTCAACCCAGCCCCGAGGGGCCACCAGTGACACCGGCCCCGGCCCCGCTTACGGTTGCTGAGCCAAGTACGGAGAGGGAGCCGAGCTCTCGCTTCACCTTGCACATGCACCCGCACCCACCAGCTAGAAGCTAACGGCTTCCACGTGGGTCCACCCACACGGGGGCCCAGACCCCCCCCCAACACACACACACACAAAACTGGCCCTCAGCAACGCAGGGGTGAGGCCGGGCACCCGCCCCTCCAGCACAGCCTCCTCCTTTGGGGGCAGAAACTCACAGGTACCTGAATCCCCAGTCCCAACAATCTGGAAACCATCTGGAAGCGGTGACCGTGGCCCTGCCAGGACCTCCCCTCCCCCGAGCCCCAGAACGCACACACGAGTGGGCTCACCTAGCCGGAGCTCCCCGAAGTTGCCACAGCCTATCTTCTTCCCGACCCGGAAGTTGGGGCCCACCATCAGGACCCCCGAGCTGGTCCCCGAGCTCCGGACGCCATGGCTGGTCCGGCCGCTGGCCTTGGACATTCTCCGACCCTCCTCCGACTCCCCTCTCCCTCCTTTCTTGTCAAAATCCATAAGTTTGTGGTACCCTGGCCTCTCCACGGTGACTCTGCTGCCGAGCAAATCCCGGGTCTGTGCAGACCTGAGGTTGCGGGCGGCTCTTCGGGGCTAGTACACCATGGTGGCCCGGCGGGCTCCCTGCTAGTGAGACGTGGGCGCTTGCCAGGGCCCGGCCGTGGCGCTCATCTCGGTGGCCTCGGGGTCGCGTGCAGAGGGAGGACGCATTCTGTTGACCGGTCCCGCCGCCTCAAATCTCGTGGCTCCCAGCTGGCGGAGAAACAAAGGCACAGGTTAGAGTCCAGGCCGGAACCTGTCCCCCTGCCCCCGACGCAGCCCCGGGGTCCAGAGCCCAGACTGGCAGGGAGACCCAAGACTGCGGTGGCAGCGGAAAACCACGCCACAGAGGCTTGTGCAGCATAGTGGCATCCTGGAAAGATCTCTCAAGGCACAGACGCGACCGGGACTTTCTGGGGTGCACAGGAGTGCGGTGACTCAGGCCATTGTGAATTGCACGTGTGAGGGGAGCTCTGTCGAGTGACCCCCACCCCACGGCTCAAGCACAACTGTGCTGGCAGAGGTGACGGCCAGTCAAGTGACAGGGGCCCTAGAACCTTAAAGCCAGGTGTGGGGACCAAGGCTGGGTGCAGAGAGGGCTGGCCCTCTCCCCAAGCCAAGGGTCTGCTCCTAGGTAGAGAGAAGACAGACAACAGAGCAGAATGTGCCCAAGGTTGGGAGACAGGCCCTCACCACTGACCTCAGAGGCTCCTGAACTGCACCCCGCACAGCACCCCACCCCACCATGCCCCTGGGCCTAATTCCAGGAGCCTGTGACCCTGCGGTCAGGTGGGGCTGCGGAGGATCCTGACCCTGGCAAGGCTTCACTTGGGCAGCAGCTGCCGAGGGAGGTCAGGCGGGCTCCGAGCTTGACAGGGCACAGGCCGTGCGTGCCACTGGGGTGGGACTGGCCTTGGCCCCTTGGGTACGAAGCTGGCCTTGTGGAGGGCAGGGCAGACACTGAGCAGCCCCCAGGATGCAGGGGGCAGGCAGGCAGCCACCCCAGCTGGGTGCAGTGAGGGACAGGTGCCCACAGAAACCACCCGGGTCTGTGTCCCCAGGCCCAGCCCTCCCCAACCACCCCCCCCATCCCCCGTCCCTGCAGCCTGTGGTTGCCACCAAGCTGGCCTCTCAGCCACGCCTCCGCCTGCAACCCCCGCCAGCTGCTCGTGCCAAAGCTGAAGGATGTCCTCAAAAAGAAACCACCAACGAGCTCCTCTAAGCGCCCCCTACCAAACGCGTCCCCCTTTAGAGTCTGAGTGCAGCACCAGGGGCCACACCGCCATCAGGCCCAGAGCGCCACAACTCAGCTTACAAGTTCCCGCCCCACAGGCACCAGACGCCTTCCCACATCCTGCAGAGGCCGTGCACCTCTGACCGTCCGTGAGCAACCACCAGAGCCCAGGCGACAGAAGACAGGGCAGTGTGGGCACCGCCGGGCTCAGTGCGGGTAGGGGCAGGCAGCGGTTTCACCTCGAGGGAACGACACCGAGGCTGGGTGAGGGGGGTGGGCAGGGCGTGGAAGCGCCCTTGCTGCGGGACGTCCCAGGGAGGCAGTGACCGTGTCACCTGACCCCAGTACTCCCTCGACGCTGACAGGCCCAGGACCGGGACGCCCCCACGGAGGGGGTCCGGGATGTGGTGCACACACGTGCGCGTCCGCATGGCTTGGAAAGCTCCTCCCACCCCCCTGCCTGAGCCACGAAGACCTCAGGCCCTGCCTGCCTTGGGGGCCATCACTCTGGTGCGCCCTGGGGACCCTGGGCCATCGCTCCAGTGGGTCCTGGAGGACCAGTCAGGAACAGGGCCCAACCCCAAAGGAGGATGTCTGCACAGATCCCCAACTTCCTCGCTCCATCAGTGGCATGGCCTAGAACAGGCAGGGGGGATGGGGTCTCAGGACGGTGGCTGGGCTCACCCGGGACGGAATGTGTACGTCTGGGGCCGATGGGACCCGTCCCCCGCCCACCATGAGCACCCAGAGGCCTGCGAATACCTCTGTCCACCTGAAGGTGAGTCTACACGGACGGACCCTAGTCTGAAGTTTACTATTAGAACAAAGTCCTCCACCGGCTGCAGCCGCCCTCCTGAGCTCATGCCAGAGCCTTGCTCCCCGCGCATGGTGGGGGCATCAGGTCCATCCGAAGAGAAAAGCCAGAGGGCACTTCTTTCCTCCGCAGGGTGGAGACCACATGCTTTGGCTTCAAAGTCCCTAGTTTATTGTTATTTGCATTACGGAGATAACGATCCACATACCATACAACTCGCCCTCCAAAAGTGTACGATTCAGAGGTCTTCAATACATCCAGTTATGCAACCGTCACCGTGATCCAATTCCAGAACATTCCATCAACCAAAATAAAAAAACCCCATCCCCATCAAGCAGTCACCCCCCAGTACCCACGAGCCCCCCCCGCTTTGTGTCCGTGGATGAGCCTGTTCCGGACGTTTCACACACGCGGGCTCACACCCCATGTGGCCTCTCGTGTCTGGTTCCCTCCCTGAGCGTCACGTGTTCAGGGTCCGTCCACGGGGCGGCGGGTGTGGGCGCCTCGCTCCTGCTTGCGGCCGAGGGACGTGCGCATGTGCGGTGGACCAAGTGTATCTGTTTGTCTGTCAGCGGACATCTGGGTCGTGTCCATCCTTGGGTGCTGAGAAGTGTGTGTGCGGACGGACGCTGGTGCACAAGTTCCCGTGTGGACACGAGTTTCTGTTTCTCCCGGCACACACCGGGAAGTGCACCTGCTGGCTCAGACGGAAACTTCCAACTGGCAGCACGACTTCCCGGAAGCCCGCACACCACGCACAACGGTGCCCTCCGGCCCCGGTGCCGCGGTCTGCGGTGGGTGAGCTTCTAGTCTGCAGCCCCCCGAATGCTTGCTTTCCTTCCAGACACACACCTTCCGTCACAAAGTAATTAAGGACGTATGCATGTGCACACGCACACATGCACAGACGCCATGGACAGACAGACACAGACACACACGGGCCACCAGAGTCAATCAGATGGAAAATCCGCGGGAAATCAAAAGACTCCAAGGAGACAGAACTCGCCCTCATCTCATAATCTGCACTGTCCTGATGACGGCAGAACTCAGGGCCGAAGGGCCCTGGGCGCGCCCCGAAGAGGAAGCGTCAAAGAAACGTGGCAGAAGCCAGGAGCGGGACCTCCTCGGGGCCACACAGAAGCAGGCGGCCAGGGACGGCCTCCACGCAGATGAAGCCGGGGGACACACACTCGGGGCAAATAATGATAGATGCGGTCTTTGTCCTGGGGCCTGGCACGCAGCTTCTCAAACCCTGGGCGCCTCCCGAGTGATGGGAGGGTCTCGGCCCTTCTGAAGCAACCCGTTCCCGGCACACAGGAGCTCATGCCGGGACAGGGCACCAGAACGGAGCTGGAGAGGCTGCGGTGCAGAGCACAGGGTCTGGGGAGGGCTCGGCGACCCCCTCTGCAGGCAGGGAGACTCAGCTCCGGACTCCACCCCCCACCCCACCCTGCACACAGGCTTCATGGGGCAGGAAGTGCCTGTACCACTCTGCCCCGAGGCACACAGGAGCCGCCCCTCTGGACGCCTCCCGCTTTTGCACCTTAGCCCGCAGCCCTCCTGGGAGGCCCCTCCTCGGCCCTAGCAGCCCCCTCACCCCCTGCGCAGTGACCCCCACCTGCGCTTCCAGGTGGGAGGCGCCCTCGGTCCCCACCCCAGATCAGCAGGCACGCCCTCCATCTCCGCCCGGCCTCGTGATCTGGGGTGCAAACCCTTCCTGGGTGCGCAGAGCCGCCCTCTGTGGGCCAGGGAGGCCCACGTGCCCCTGTGGGACGACTTCTAGGGTCCCCTCTGAGAGATCCCTGTGACGCTGGGGGTCCAGGGTCTGGCAGCGGCCTCCACCAGCCTCCCCACTCCACAACAGGCTCCCTCTGCGTGCGCCTCCCTGCAGCCCCTCGTGGCCTCATGGTCCCAAGGGGGCCTCTGACGGCCCAGCGGGCAACAGAGACCAGGCGACCGGGCGCAACGCTGGAGGCCTGCTCATGCACGCACCGCCCCACCGCCGGTCCCGGGGCCCACAGGTCCCTCGACACAACGCCGGCGCCCCCCAACGGCAGCTTCCCCAAGCCGCGTGCTGGCCACGGGTTGGTTCACGTCTGCCCCTGTAGGTCTCCTTACAACAGGGCGTACGGCCGCCACGTGGGTCACCGCCCGCAGAGGATGGCAGGCGCCATGGAGGCGGGGGAACAGCCCTCCACTGCGACCCCTTCCACGGACAGCCCGGAGGACACCGGCCCCTATTCACGAGGAAAGGGCCACCACCCCACAACCCCAAAGGCAGCACAGACTTGCAAATGCTCCGGACGGTGGCCAAACTCAGCATGCCCTGGCAGGCCACCCCACCCAGCACGGGCCACATGGGAGCATTCTGGGTCCCCTCGGGACACTCTGAAAGCCAGGTGGGACCCGCAGGGGAATGGCAAGAGCGAATCACGTGCTGGCGGGTGGGAAGCAGGGACAGGGACGACACAGTGCCGCTGAAACAGGTCTGGGGCCAGAGCCTAGTGAGAATGATGCTGCTCCAGGTCCCAGGAGCGGGCAGGGGCCCAGCCTGGCATACCTGGGGGAGGCAGGGTAACCCGAGACCTCAGGGGAGCGGAAGTGTCTGCTGTCGGCCCAGGCCCAGCGCCAGAGCTAAAAATAATTGTCCTGGGGGAGAGGGCCTCCCATCCCTCACTCGGGACGAAAATAAACCCCATCCCGAGGCAACCAACATGGGCCCTGGTTCCTGACACGGGGTAGGACCCCCACCGCAGGACGGTGTCCTGCCCCCACCCCAGGGACCACTGCCCAGCGCCCAGGCAGAGCCCCTGGAAGCTGCCGGCCCGCCGTGGCCACACCGAGCGGGTTTTGGAGAGACTGCTCCGGGCCGGGGCAGTGCCGTCCTGCGAGCACCCCCCTCAGCTGAGTTACCTGCTGTGGTTTTGGGGGCGTCCCCCATCTTGTCAGGGCCAGGGGCCAGCTCCCCTGGTGGAGGCTCCAAAAACCCCCTTCTCTGACCTGCCCCACTCAGTGATGTCACAGTCCCTGGCTGACATCACCAGCCCCGGCCCAGAGCTGGGGCACGTGCAGACGCAGGCAGCCTCCTGCCTAAACACAGGTAGGAGCCGGTGGTGGGTGCGGACTCAGAAGCACGCGCCTCACTCGGGACCCAACCGGGCATCC